TTTGCGAAGAGAAGTCAACAAGCTAAGTCGTCTAGCGTATCGATTCCGAGCCTTTCCTGAACACGAATGCCACGAGGAACACAGATTACAAGCAAATGAATATGGTGACAGCATCCTCAAAGCCAAGCGACAACACTGGACTGACTTCCTGGAAGAAGCAACCTCAAACGACCTATGGACAGCAAACAAATACATCAAGGAGCCAGCTGGAGACGGCGGAAAGGTACGAGTGCCCACGTTCAGGGTAATGGATCCGGATGGAACAAACAAAGAAATCAACACAAATGAAGGCAAGACTGCCCTCCTCGCGAAGGTGTTCTTCCCACCGAAACCAGCAACATCAACAGTACCAGACAACTACAACTACCCAGAACCTCTCCCAGCCCCTGAAATGATCACGGTCGACAGGGTGCGCGAACAGATTCGACGACTGTCTCCGTACAAAGCCAGCGGACCTGATGGAATACCAAACATTGTATTGCAGAAATCAGCCAACATCATAGAGGAGTACCTTACTTTCATATACAGAGCAACACTGACACTTCACACATATGTAAACAGCTGGCGAGAATTCACGACAGTGGTCCTACGCAAACCCGGAAAGCCTAACTATGAAATTCCAAAGGCCTACCGCCCAATAGCACTAATCAACACAATGGCGAAAGTACTAACAGCAACAGTAGCAGACGACATATCAAGAATGGTAGAAAAAGAAGGACTGCTCCCGGAAAATCACTACGGAGGACGAGCCGGACGTATGACGACAGACGCCATTCACATCCTCGAGGACAAAATCAAAGCAGCATGGCAAGAGGACAAGGTAGTGTCAGTCCTCTTCCTCGATGTTGAAGGGGCTTTCCCCAATGCAGTAACGGATCGCCTGATTCACAACCTGCGAAAACGACGAATACCAGAAATATATGTGGAATTCATCAAAAACCTGCTTGACGGCCGAACAACTAGGCTACGTTTTGATGACTATGAATCAGAAGCCATTGCCATTTTGAATGGGATAGGCCAAGGCGACCCCCTCTCAATGATTCTCTATATCATTTACAATGCTGACCTGCTTGAAATTACAGACAAACCTAACGAGGATTCACTAGGCTTTGTGGATGACATTCTACTCATAGCAACAGGGAAAAACTTCAAGGCAACAAACAAGATACTCAAAAGTGTCATGGAACGTGAAGACGGTGGATTCGAATGGGCAAGACAACATAACTCTCGCTTCGAGATCGACAAGCTAGCGGTGATGCACTTCACTCGGCGACGCCAGAAAGACCCACAACAACCACGACGACGTATACCAATGACAAGACCCCGACTTACTCTCCAGGGCACGGTAATCCGAGATGCTGACTCCTACAAATATCTAGGACTCTTCATGGACAGAGAACTACGGTGGAAGACACAAATGCAGAAGACAATCGCAAAAGCGACCTCGTGGATACTAATGTTTCGCAGACTCACAAATGTCTCCAGTGGAATGACAGCCAAGCTAATGAGGCGATTGTACCTTGCAGTGGCCATCCCAAAGATGACCTACGGACTCGATGTATGGTATACACCACTGCACGTAAGAATTGGAAACCGCCGGAAAACAGGCTCAGTCAAAGCCTTAAAAGAATTTGGGAAAATTCAACGGATCGCCACCATTGCCATAACTGGCGCCCTCAGAACAACGCCAAATGAACTACTGGAAGCCCATGCAGGCCTACTCCCCATCGACTTGGTGCTTGCGAAAATCTGCTTCCGGTCAATGGTACGTATGAGCTCACTGCCCGAATCTAACCCCGCCTCGAGACAGGTAAAAAGATACTTTGAAACACCAGCACTTCGCCACCTCCCATCAATACAGCACCTCCTGAGGGAGTTCTCGATAAATCCAAACGAAATAGAAACAATCAAACCATGCTCAGAACCAACAAACCGGAGAAGGGACTACATCACACGAATAAGCGACAACTCAGTACAAGAAGAAGCGCAGGATGCTGCAGCGACACGTGTCTACACAGACGGATCTTGCCACGATGGTCAAGTTGGAGCAGCTGCAGTCCTCTATGAGGGCACCCCTCCAGTACGGAAGAAAATACTACACTACTATCTTGGGCCAGAGCGACAACACACAGTGCGAGAAGCAGAGATTATCGGAGGCCTGCTTGGGTGCTGGCTATTGCGAAACCATGAGCAACTCACAGTCCTACCTTTCTCTATATACACTGATAGCCAAGAATTTATACAGGCAACAACAGCAACGACACCCTCAAGTGGGTCTTATCTGATCGAAGAATTCAATACAATTGCAGACAGCCTCACAAAGCCAGATGGAGTACCCCTACACGGTGAAAAATTCACTCTTCGCTATATCTCTGCTCACCAGGGTGTGATAGGGAACGAAAGAGCAGATAAGGAAGCACACAAAGCAGCAAATGGGAAGACCTCACGGGATAGCCAGCTCCCACCACGACTAACACGAGGAAACACCTTACCAAGGACGACTGAAACGGCAAAAGCGCGCTACCTCATCAAACTCTGGGAGATGGCAGCAGCTCGGTGGGCTGCATCCGCCCGAAAGGTGACATTTGAAAGCATTGACCGCGATTACCCATTCGCAAGGTTTCGACGTCAACAAGCAGAACTCACGAGAGCGAAGGCAAGTCTGCTTATGCAACTACGAACTGGACACATACCCTTGAACGGCTACCTGGCCCGATTTGGGCAAGCGGCGACATCACGATGCCACTCCTGCTGGATGTCAAATGGCACCGAAAAGGAAGAAACAGTCCGACACTTCCTCTTCGAATGCCCGGAATACAGTGCCGAACGTGGTCAACTCGACCACCAGCTAGGACAAGACTCACGAAACATGAGGATGCTCATGAGCAGTATGAAGCACATCAAGGCTGTTATGACATTCGTAGGCCAAACACATAGGTTAAGAACTGCTCCAGGTGAAGTTATAAACATAAATCATGAAGATGCCGATTAAATCACAAAACAGAAACACACAGGAAAACATGTAAATGAAGAACACCCCAACCAAACTACCCCACCCAACTAAACGCCTCCAACAACCACGCAAAATCTACACGCTCCTGACTCAAGAGCGCCGGCCACCACCCAGCCCACCAACCTTACTGGTCCACCACCAACCCGCAAAACCTTCCATTTGATGTCGCATTGTGCCCCACTTCGGTGAGGTACCTAGCAGGCAGATCAACCCACACCAAAATCTGAACCCAAAATGACGCACGAAGCGCAAGATGTCCCCCCCGCCAAGACACGAGTGCCCGAAAAACAGCGTTTCCTTGTTGGGCTGTCCGGGGAGAGGATCGCCTCGGGCGTACCTCGGCAGTGCTGAAGGGACTCACGGGACCAGGAGTCGGGCGCAGTGCCCTGGCATCTTAGTTGCTTAAATTAGTTATGTCTACATGAGGTTTCACCTTAATAGACCTAAATTGACACGAAAAAAGAAAAAAAAATGGTATGTATGTTAGTGTTGCCGCGGCTCCGGCTTGATCTGGCTAAGCCAGCCGAGCGGAGCGGCAGTGAGCGAAGCTGAGCTGATGTTGCAGCTTTCCCACATCGCCGCTCTAGCTCGGCTGAAAAGCGGCTTAGTACCAGCTCCGAGCTGGCTGAGCCAATAGCTGAGTCCAAATTTGGATGCGGCAAGGTTTCTTTGTTATCTCCACAATCTATTACGCATCGCAGTGCATCCATTGCACCGCGCTCAACTACGAAGGCATGTAATAGTACTTGACGGCTAAAGTACGTGTTTTTGAGCTTATATGGTACATCTTGGTGAAGAATTGACAATTTGTATCATGTTCAGTACCATTTTTGCTCCCAAACACTCCTCGCACTTGTGGTTCCCTGAAATCATGAAGCTTCACCATCAAAGTATTGCCTTGCAGGCTGGATGGATCTCCTATAGACATAGGGAGCACGTTTCATGACTTGTCTGCTTCAATTTCGTAAGTGAGCGTGTTAGTTCTCCTCCTTCGTTACCTCTGACAACGTGCATGAACAGTTGCTGCACACGTTTTGGCAGTGATTCCGCGAGTTACCTGCGGTACAAGGTATGTAAGTCCATGTATGCTTTTCCATTATTTCTTATCGCTATTGTTCACTCCAGGTGTCCCTCTGTCGCACTGTGCGATGTTGAAGGCCGTCTTCAACATCCAACATCATAACACCCGAGTTTGTCGCCAACTGTGTTCCGTCGGTGAGCTGTACTAATGACTCCCAGTACATTCTTACACATCATTTGTTCCCTCTATGCCGCAGCAACACAGAGACATTGGTTGGAAAATTTGGCTCATTTCAATGTCGGTGACTCCTGTAGTTTACGTATTTCTTGCCTGTGAGTCCATATTTCGCAATGACATTGCTGGTGAATAATTGTTTTGAAGTCTAACACATGTTATCTGAATGAGTTCAAATGAAGACTATGTTGTACAGTAGCTGTATATAATGTGTCTGTGGCGGCAGCCTGCAAGTGCTTGGTGCTGCATAAACATGGAATTATCACTTAGATGCTATAAAAGCTGAACAGAGCTGAGTTGCGAAGAAACCTGACAATCATGGCTACCAATAACCCAAGAAATCAATGCTAGAAAGTCACCGCCACTGAAGACAGTCTCTTTCCAGAGGAAGTAGAGGCTCCTTCCCGCAATTTTATCTCGAGATAGTTGCCTGTAAGTTGTAACTATAGATGTGCTATATATGGTATCAAGCCCTAAGCGAAGCGAACAGCTCAGCCATAAGCGAAGCCAAAACCATCATAGCGAGCTGGCGCGCCGCAGCTTTGGCTCGGCTGTCAAGCCATCTTTAATCACAAGCCGCGTAAGCCGAGCTGAAGCCAAGCCAAGCGGAGCGGCGGCAACACTAATAACTGTATCTTCAGACTTTTCTATAAATAGCAATATTTGCCAGAATTGGTATTGATGCATGAGATTTACCACCTCAACATACGATAATACTCTGTTTTAGTATTCGGGGGCATAGCTCAGCTGGGAGAGCAGTAGACTGAAGCCTCTTCGCGTTCTAAAGGTCCTGCGTTCGATCCGCGGTGCCCCCATCTTTTTAACCTTTTTTTATATATCGCAAAATGACTGCTGTTATGCCCAATTTCAACAGTGGCAGGATAAGGTTTTACTTATAAATTGCACATTCATTACGGCGACGACGACGCATGTCTTCATTTCCTCATTGAAAGGCTGTATAATAATATCCATGACCTCATTCATATATCCCAGTCTTCTAAAGAGAAAGCCAGTACTCCAAAAGCAGATGCTGCTTCACCCGTGCCACCAGCAAGGCTCTCCACGCCTCGACGAAGAAAGCGTACGAGTCCATCTAGCTCGGACGACATTCGCTCCACGCGTCCGTAGAAATCCTCATCAATCGAACTGGTAGATGTTCCAAGCATAGAGTAGGAAGGCTCTGGAGGATTGTCTGCGAGACCTGGAGCGTCACTAGCAAACTCTTCTTCGTCCGAACTATCCTCGTCCTCGAGAGCAGATTGCGAGAAACCTATGATGTTTTTCCGTTGGCGTCTTTGGAGGCGGCTGCGATGTCGTTTCATGATCATTGATTGTCTTGACACATCGAGGGTTGCTGTAGTGTCGCCGGCAAAGGCCACAAAGCCTTCGCTAAAATGCAGACAGATGTCTAAAATCGAGAGGATGGTTCTATGGAGAGCAGATGTCTGGAGAGGAAGATGAGTAGGTGTTCCATCGCTTCTGACAATGGATGCTGATTACATTGGGCTTCAACAGACAACGGCCTCCGATCTTCTCCAGGCTAGATCATTGTTATTCTTGTCCATAACTATAGATGATTACCTTGACTTACTGTTCGTCATGTAGCTGGATCATATCATCCAGAGACCGAGCTTTATGAAAGGCGTCATGGAAACGCGATACTTCTGCATGAATGACCTGCATGATACAGACCATAAGATAAAAAAAGCGAACATAAAGGTAGGGGACACACATATGTAGTGACAAAATTCAGCAGTGTGCTAATTAAAACAAGTGAGTCTTTGGAAAATTCGATCAGGATAAGACTAACATACTTGATGAACCAGCTTAATCTGCTTCTCATCGCATAGAAAACTTTCAGTTCCTCCCTCAATTTCTTCCCTCTACTCCGCTCGTCCCTGACCAAAATTCTTTCCAACACACTCTTGGCTCTGCGTATCTGCATTAAGAAGATGAAGACTTCGTTATATCTTTGGATTGTCTTCGGTTGAAAGATGTAGGTCAGAGGAAATGGAACAGAATATTCCAAGGCAAGGCCGTCGATGGCTTTGACCGTCCGTTTGATTGAGCGGTCTTTATCTCTGCCACCCTTATATGATAAACGAACAAGCGCAGGATTAATCCACTCCTTGCTTCCGGTGTTCATATTGGATTCTATTACGTCCGCAAAAGCCGCATTCAGGAAGTGAAAATCGCCCCAAGATTGCGAGGAATCCATCTGCGAACGACCAAATGGTGTTGAGCAAGAGTGCCTATCAAAACATGAGGACGGTTTACCTTGATGAAAAGAACATCTACAAAGTGGCTCACTGCGTCTCCTCTGCGCATCAGCAGCAAATCCTCAATCGCATCCACATGTTTCCATAAACTACACTCGTCTATCAGAACTTTGACGAGGCGCATGCCAGTAGCTTCATAATGCGGAAGGAGGCCATCATAGATAAGACGAGATAGCGTGTCAATAGAAACGGAGAAGAGGCCGATATTTTTCTCCGCGACACCATTGGCAGTCCGGGTTTCCGAGCTCACTATGTCGGAAAAAGTCTTCCAATTGTTGAACGCGTTCGAAAGGGGTCGTTCACCGAGAGCTCTGAGTAGACCGACTGCCTTGCCTGTCTCTAGGACCAGTTGAGAAACATGCTCTAAAAACAAAGGGATTGCCTTTCTATGCGGAGGGCCGCTCGCTGTTGGTTGTTCTGATTCTCCGTAAGTCACTCCTTCTCGAAGCGCATATCCCTCTTTCCAAAATTCAGGATCCAATAGGCCCATCCCCATCATACCGACCCCGACTCCGCTACTTTCGATGAAGAATTCGTCGTCAAGTTCATCAGCCATGCCGGGTTTTCCTCCTGTTCCTACACCCAAACCCAAACCCATACCATTTTTTAGCCATTTGCCTACCATCCCCCATACAGGTTCAGCAGTCCTCACAAATATACGCATGAGCGCATCGCTTGTCACGGTATCACCTCGTTCCATATGTAGCTGTACGTTGGCGAACAAGGTATCAAGGAGGAGAGCGGTCAAAGCTGCTGGCTGTCGGCGTTGCGTTGTCTGGTCGAAAAGCGTAATGTCTTGATAAGATTCAAGTTGAAAGACTTGGTACACAATATCGAGTAGGACTTCAAATGAGGATTCGTACTCCTCGTTGATGGCTCTATCCGTGCTGAGAACGCTAACGACAAGACGATCGTGGTCAAGCCCCGAATATGCTCGACACATAGCTTCCTCTCGCTTTGCACACCATGCATCGAATATACGAACGGCTTCGTCAACGGCATCGGCAAATGCTTCACACGTGCGAGTAGATGTGGCTTTGTTGCCTTTACTACTAGGAGACAGGGCACGATCGAAAACTGCACGAGAGAACTGACGCAGTCGCTCGACAGTTGTCGCTGTTCTGGCCAAGGAGTTGATGATGGACTCCTGAGAAGTCAAACTCAGATGGACCAGTTTTGGTGTATCTTTGGACATCTTTAGTACCGCAATGTTAACAAGACAGTCTCGTATGAAAATATCCACAGCTCACTCTGAAGGCATTTTCCTTCCATGTCAAGATGGTATTCTTGTTTCCCTGCAGCGCCATAAGAATATCGCGGACCATGTCATCTTCATTTATATATCGCTGGATGTAAGCCAATATTTAAATGCCTTGGAATTCGCAAAAGAAAAATGTCTCGCAGACCTCTGGTTGCAACATAGCCTCTGCATCTTTGAACCCTTTTGCTTCTGCAAGAACGCGCGCGACAGTGGGACCTAAAGAACTGTTTGTCAGAGTGCCACAGAAATAACATACATACTGTACTACTAACCTAGAGTAGAAGGATTGCCTATATCAAAAGGAGATTCAATAGAGGCATCGATACGCCAATCGCCTTTCCAATATTGCTTCCCCTGCAGCTCTTCGAATTGGGTCCTATGTTGGTAAGTGTACGGAGGATTTGTTTGAGATGGTTTGTGCCCTGCATCCAAAGATAAAGGCTCCGAAGGAGGCGATAAGGGTCTGTCATAATCGGAGGAACCTTCGTCGTCATCGTCAAGAGCTAAGTCATCTGAACCCAGCGGAGAAAGGGACGGAGAGCTATCCCATTCATTCTTATCGGAATTTTCTCCAATCGCAGATCCAAGGATCCCTTCCCAATGTTCGCCTTCGAATGGTTCTTCTGCAAGAATTTCGGCCCAAGTAAGCGCTTGGGGAGGAGGATTTGGACTTCTGATTTTTTCAAGATAGGTCTTTGCCAACTCCAGCGTTCCACTTGAAGGCGGTTGATTGAGGGCAAGCTATCATATGGTCACATTAGGATGTATGCCGTATTAATGAAAGACGTATCCGAACCAGAAATTGTAGATGATCAGGAATGCGCGCTGCCTGGGAAGTGTTAGATCTATATATCCTATACAACTTGAGGTATGGCTATGCCTTCCTTTATATCTTGGTCAAGATCGAGCTCCCTTCCGTCTATATGAGCTTTTAATGTCTTGTATGCGAATTCCAAAGCTTCCCCAAGTACATCTCTCGAGTTTATTCGCGCCTTCAGGGTAAAACTAAACAAAATAAATACAAAAACACAGAGGATATAGTGTTACCTACCCACTTATTTGACGATCTATAACACTCATGTCAACGCCAGCTGTAGCTTTGTTGATCGTGGAGGTCTCCAAGCTTTTCACCGCTTGTTCTACCAACTCCTGGAATGCTTCGCCATCTAGATCCTTTTCTGTTCCCTCCTCTTGGAGACCTGTAATCTGCGATACCAAAATCTGGCATATGGGTATCAGCCTGGATCGTGCATGTCTTGAATGAGGCCGTTGAGAGAATCGAGAAGAAGGGCGAGTCGAAGCACTTGACAATGGGCGCGTGGATAGGCTTGATGCTGGCCTATGTGCCGCGCTCGAAGAGGGACGAGAATTATTTCTTGAGATGGGTCTAGCTAAGCTTGAATGCGGTCTACTACCCTGGCTTTTTGTGGATAGGTTAGAACTGCTTGAAGGTATCATGGTGGCATTATGAGAGTTATCATTCTCGCATACGTGATGTGATCATTGTGATGTAACACTTGCATGTGGCTTTGTGACATACGTGTCCAATCTCAGTTCGACACGTTTTAGGATACAATAAAAAATATAGAATGGTAGATGCGGATGATATTGAACATACATACATACAATAATGAGCATTGGCAAGGGTCTAATCAAACATTCGGCTATGCGGTCTCCCAGAAATGGTGCCTCCATCCAGGAAGATCTTGCTCAATGGACGCGCCTGACGAGGTCTGCGTTTGCCCTCCCTCATGCTCCGAATAGCATGATCAAGATCTCCTCGACCCACAGAGCCGCTTCCTGCAGCCTGTAGGACATTTCCTCTGCTTCCGTTTTCTTGGGCCTTTATCGTCTGCAGAGAAGCATAAATACGCCAGTATACAGCGTGAAACAACATGCTTACTGCATCAGGTTTCTTTTCTGGTGCTTCTTCAACCGCCAATTTGGGCATCGGCAATGATTTCTGGAGCTTGGCCTCTGCGTCGTGAACCTCCAAGGCGCATTTCTGAGGAAGCAAACAGTAAGATAACAGACGAGAAGACAGAGACAAGATTTATTACCTGTAACGAGGATGAGAAGGAGGCGATCAGGCCAAAGAAGTCTTCTGGTTTTGGCGCGTCTGGTGAATCGGGATTTTCTCCATAGTACGCAAGCAAAGAATGAAGTTCTTTGACCAAGGCCGCTCCCATGTTCTGCAACGCGTCGACGGTTGGCATCTTTTTAGCAATGAAAGGCTAGTTTAAGCAAATCGTTAATCAGTCGTATGTAATCCAAA